AAAAGAGGAGAAGAAAAAAAAACATATATATATACATAAGCATGAAAGTAGAAATGGAATATTATTGATGATAACATGCTTGATTAAGTCACTATGCAATCTATTCTAGATGGGAAATTACATTTAGTACGTTGTGATGATGCTCAGGGAATGAATGTTAGGTAACAACAACAAAAAAAAAGGTAAAACTATTCATACCATTAAAAAAAAAAAATGGATATTTGATGGCTGCAGTGAGCGGTATGGGCCCAGCTGGGTTCTACTTTATAGTATGCTCTTTTTACTCACTGGGGTTTAGGCCTAAAGTCAGACTTGAGTTCATGTAGAGGCATGTGTCAGCTGTGATAACTATTGGAGAGACTTAGACTAATTAAGTTCACTGACAGATCATTTGGGGAGGGGGGAGGCACGGAGGGCAATCGTGGATGCCAGGGACAATGTGGGAGGAGGATGGGTCATAACAGAGGGAGGAGGATGGGGAATCTAGGATGGCAAAACAAAAGGCAAGGTATGCAGGACACAAGAATTGGGAAATTATTTGCTGAGAACATATATGTTGACGTGCTTGATTGAGCCAATGCACAGTGTATTTTGGATGGAAAATTCATTTGTGTGTTGTGATGGGAAAAAAATTATAATAAAAAATAAACTATAAAAAAAAAGAGAGAAGAGGATAGAGAAAGATAGCAAGTGAACAATAGAGAGGCAGGATATTAGTGAGAAACAGATATGGTTTATTATCTGTTGATGACGACGTGTATAGTATTCTCAACTGGACTGGTCTGGGAAGTATTTCATAATGGGTGAAGTCTTAAAAAGACATTGAATGATAAAGCGAGGAGATTGATGTCTCTGTATTGACTGATATGCATGGCATTCCCTTTTGAAAAAGCAATGGAAGTCAATGTAAAGTTATATGTAATCCAATGTAATATAAAGAAGATTATGATGATAATTAAAAAAAAAAAGATGAGTTATAAACTGAGTTCAATCTCTTGTGT